GCGCGCGTAATAATGTTTATTGGGGTGCCCCCTGGGGGCTAGATGGAGGGGATAAATTGTGATTGGTAGTTAGTTTTCCGTGCTACTGCGATGGTTGTTCTTGCGCTTGCTTCAGATGTTTGTTGGGATTAGGGACACTGAGTTTTTAATAGATAGAAAGAAGTTAATTAATTGAGACTATTTAAAATAACCCAAAAATAACTATAGTTATTTATAATTATCATATAGATGTAACCTTTGATAACATATATTTATTTATGTCATAAGCCTAAGAAGTAAATCTTTTTGTGCTGAGCTCAAAGTTTGAATGCCGACGCAATTGGGCGAAGCACAACAAGGCATAATTTTATTTGTAAAACAATACATTGGCGAAGCCGAACTCTTTTGATTAAAGATCACATTATTGCAAAAACAAGAGCCGATGAAATAAAATGAATGGTCAATTTTGAAATCAACGCTACCAAGTAACCCTAAAAAAGGTAATGTTTGCCCTACACTGTAGTTGACATTAAAATTATAAAACAAAACCTAATCCCGAGCAAAGCATCGTTTAAAGGAATGGGGGGAGGAAAAATAAGGTTTGCAAGAAGGCATTTTTCAAAAGAAATAGTAGAGATAAACTGGGATATTCTAAATAACCAACTGGGGCTTAATATGTTACATTTTACATTATAAACAGCGACAAAAATAGAGGAATAAATAAAAAAGTTTCACGGGCAGAAGTTCCGCTAAAGTTTCGAGCAGCAGGCGACAATATTTAGCGTGGAATGGGGCGACGGAAAAGGAAAAAAACTCCGGTAAAAGATGAGCCGAGTTGTTCTCTGCTAATACAATTAAGTTTCTTTAAATAACGAGGCATGCAGGAGAGGAGAGGATTTTTCTTGATTTTATATTTTTGAGCATTCATAGCGAAACTTAATAAAATTTAATTTGAATTGCGAAATTCCTACCTCGGTCCGCGTACGTTTCTCTCCCCTGTACACAAATATTTAATTTTTATTGTGTGCTCCGGAAAAATAATAGAAAATTAATAAGCAGGATTTAATTTCGACGTTTTATCACAAACGGTTAAATACAATTTTTCAGGAAATTCATTACCCACATTTTATACATTGAAGTTGAAAATGGAAAAGTTTAAAACATTCTTCAATGTTAATTATTTAGTTTTAAATATGAACATTTAAAAAAAAAAATTGGGCAAAGATTATTTTGAACCTTATAATATACGAGTAAATATTTAATGTTTTAGAACTTGCATGTCTAAAAACTAATAATTGCATTTTTTAAGGCATAGATAGAAATTAGCGTCTTCTAAATTTCATCTTCAGTCCCATCGTGCTATGCCTCGGCAAAAACAAACTAAATTATAAATTTAATAAACAATACTACTGTAAGCAGGGAAAATTGTTGATTTAAGCCGGCGCATCATTAATATGAAAGCCATGGCGTTGCCTTAAGTTTGCCCACGTAGAAGCGGCAGCGGCAATTTGTCTAACACCGCCGTTTTCTCGACAATTAATGCCTGCCACAAGGAAAAATTACATGCAAACCGACACTTAAAATATGTACAATTCGTTCGCTCTACCAGAGAGACTTTAGAAGCGAATTTTCATGAGCGATCACTGAAGCTTATCTTTGTTGCAACTCCAATCAGGCAGATTAATATTTCTCTACTTACGGTAAAATTATTACTAAGGATTTCTAGGACTGTTTAAATATTTTACTTCTAAATTTTAGACAGTTCTTAGGACAGTTTTATGGCAGTGAAAACCGTTTTAGGACAGTTTAAAAATTTAATTCAAGACAGTTTGAAATTTTAATTTAAACAATTTTAATATATCAAACTTGTGTATGTTTGACTTTATACCAAAAGTAAAATAGATGAAGCTGTTAACTTTCGTTCACTGTGCTACCGCTGTTTTTTTACCGGAGTTTTTTTATACTTAATGCATAATTACCGATAGGTACTAACTTATTTGTCATTTTATAATAATAATAATAATTTTATTAACGGAAAATCCACTTTACAAATTTAACAATTTACCTTATCTTTACAACATCTCTTAAATACTGCCAATGAGGAATTAAAAAAATCCAAATCAAACTTGTTTGCATTAGAACACATTCTGTTTATTGGCATGAATTTAGCATATTCGGTTCTATGCCTTTTTATATAAAATAATTCAGGATGTCTTGTTCGTCTCATTGGTACGTTAAAACTTATTTGTTGTAACAACTCTGGACAATTAATTAAGTTATTTAATAATTTATATAGAAAGTTAAGACTAGACTCTGTCCGTCTATTACTTAACAAATTTAAATGTGTTGCTTTTCTAACTAAATCCAAACTATATTTACATTCAATGTTTAATTTGAATCCACAATATCGCAAAAATTTGTTTTGAACTTTATCAATTTTAGCACTTAAATTAACATAAAAAGGGGACCAAATTACACAACAATACTCTAGGATACTACGTAAAAAGGAACACTTTTAACACATTTAATATTATTAAAATCTTTCATACTTCTTTTTGCAAATCCTAACATTTTAAAAGCTTTATTTACAATAAAATCAATATGGTAGCCAAATGTCATATTACATTCAAAGTAAACACCTAAATCCTTGATATTATTTATAAAATGGATATACTATATAACTTTTAGTTCTAAAAAAACTGATACATTTACATTTATTAATATTTAATTCCATAGAGTTGAATTTGAATTCAATCTGATTGAATACGATGACAATCATTAAAAGCATTAACTTCTTTGTATAATTTCAGATCATCTGCAAATAAAAGATACTTACAGAATTTAACTCCACAGCCAATATCATTTATAAATAATTTAAATAAGATAGGAGAGATATGTCCTCCTTGTGGTACACCTGAAGTAACCCTAATTTTTTCAGACTTAAATTGATTTTGTAAAACTACTCTTTGTGTTCTTAGACTTTTCAACCAAAAACAAAGTTTACAGTAACCCCCAAAGCCCTCATTTTGGCTAGTAGGACCCGATGGTTGACTGTGTCAAATTATTATTATTACACTTGATTTAAAAAGCAGCATAAAAACGTAAATTCAAAAAACGTAAAAAATGGGATTTATACGCGATAACATTCATATTTGCTGTTGATGTTGGTAGAATTTCTAGTAAATCACTTGAGAAAATTTTATCATCAATATTGTGTGTTTCAATTAACGAGTTCCTGGTCATTTCAATTTCTTTTAACACTTGCCGGGATTGGGATGTGGAAGGAACCACATCTTTGTCACCTACAAAAGTAAATGTAAGCTCTTAAGTATTATAAAATATTATAAAATATTAACAAAAGTAATTAATTAATTCCTAAATTAGTTAAAAATACTATTTTTCCAAAACTTACTTATGACAGACAAAAGCAGGCAATAAAAATAGTAATATTAACTTATATTTAAAAAAATATAGATTTTCATGCAGAAAACATCACTGCAAAATTACATACTAATTTTAATGAAACCAAACTATACCTGCTAACAATAATGTTGGGTAAGCCAGACGACCAAGTCTTTTATTACGTAAAAAGTCCTCCTGAGTACACTCTGCAGTTTGTACAAAATTTTTGAGGTGTCATCTCAAGAAGTCGTTTATTGGCACATAACTTAACCCATTTATTGAACAAATCGATATATTTTGAAGGATTTGGAAAGGAATGTTTAGATCCCCAACAACTTTCAACAGCACAATATATAGAAACCTTCTGTAATAACAAAGTTTTAAAACAAGAATCATAATAAGTGAATAAAACGTACCTTTCGAGATGTAAAAAATCTTGGAATTAAATACACGTGATTTATATGATATTTTAAAGATGAGTGACAGTTGCAGAATGGCGGGGTTGCTACATAGTCATTGAACACAGCGCCATCTCAGAAAATGAAGGAACTATATTATGATACAAGGCCATCCATTGGAGTAAATTATCTATTGGTGTGGTCTAGGATAACATTTCAAGTTGTTGATAGGATATGCTTTTTGCTTTTGAGTCAAAAGTTTTGACATGGGCAGTGACAATTTTATATGCAGTGTTATTTAATATCTAAAAATGAGTTGTGAAAAAGAATGAAGTCCACTATAAAGAAAAAAATATTTAAAAAAGACCATAGAAGGTAAAGGGATTGTCTAAATATTATGTTATTGTGTTTTTTTTAATAATTTACTTTAAAAGAAATTATGGTAGTCACCAAATAAATCAAACCAAATATCTCTAGATAATCACTTGTTGTAATCCAGTGTTGACGGATCTTCTAGACGAGAATGACATATTGATAATTTTGGTTGAACACAGTCAACATTATCGTTTATTATTGCAAAACTGTGCGCTAAAAGTTATAACTGAAAAATTGTTGTTATAACAACAATTTTTAAGTGTCACGTTAATTAAGACCTGGGGTGTATAGGAGATGTATTTAATTAACGCATGTCAATACAAACTCAATAATTTTTTTCGTATTCATTTTTGTTAACATTTACAACACAATTTAGCAATAATAAACAATAACAGCCCATGTAGTCTTAGCAACTTTACTATTTTTTTTACTCGGAAACCAGACTGCCAATCTCTTTAAAACGTTGTCTTCTAAGTAGACTACTACAACCTAGAATGTTTTTAACATTTCTTCATAGCGACTTATATCGTGCCTGAATCTCCTTAAAAAGTAGTATTTTGTAAAGTTAATTTTCGAGCCCACTGTGAAAAAGGATGTCATTTCTCATGTACCGTTCGATTAATAATAAAACTGACGTGTTATTATTTTTCTTTCCTTCCGAGTAATTGTATGCAAATTTAATCTTGCAATTTTAGCGTGTTTTCTGACACATTTCAATGGCAAATTATTTTCTATTATTGACATAATAATATTCCTCTTTGCTCTTACTTGAAGAGAGTGATAATGGGGGAATATTAATCACATCGCCAGCTATGTAGCTTAAATGTAAATTTTTCGTTGTTGCAGGCATGGAAGCAATAATGTCGGAGTTTTTTAACGACACCACGACAGCGTTTTACATTATTTTAATCGTGTGGGTAGCCGACCAATACGACGCCATCTGTTGCCATACAGCCATTACCAAGAGACACTGGCTAAGGTAAGTTCATCTTTTCGTAGAATAATGCATTTTTATATATTTTTTAACATAATAGCGGTTTGTGTGAAAAATTTCAGAAACTCTTATCGTACCCATGGGTAGTATTAGTTTTGCAGATCGATTTTTCCAAGATGAAATAATGTCGTTTTTGTATGTTATCGTTCGTCCTTTTATATATTTACATTCTTAGAAGGTATAAGGAGAAAAGTTGCTTTAACAGCTTCACTAAGGAACAATCCAGAAAGTATAAAGCGAAACGTCAAAGGTTATATTAAATTGGCAGAAGCCCGCCAACGACGACTGCCTTTTTTCTTTTCTTTTACAAATAACAAAAATGTTTATATTTGTACATACGTAGGTACTCCCACTCATAAGTTATACACGTAGGGGGCTTCCATTAATTATGTGAGCTCAATGAGGGGAAGGAGTGAGGCAAAATCTCACCAAATTTCATTTAAAGGGTCAATGAAAAAAAACTCAACGTCAACTTTTTAATTTGGAGAATATATATAGTATATTTTCCAAATTTATATATTTAATATACATTATTATAAATTTAATTATCAAAAAATGATAGGGTAAATTTCACGGTAAAGGGGTTCCACCACATCTTACTAAATATCAAGGGGAAGGGGGTCCAAAAACACCTCATATAATATATATATTATATACTTAATGGATGTTTTTTTTTTTTAATTAATGGTCAATTTTGATAACAAAGTTATAATAGAGTGCAAATGTTTTTAAAACAATTAACTTTATAAAGTAACCCTGTTTAGCGAATAGTACATTGTTATTTAAACATTAAGGGAAGTAAGGCATAGTTACCAGTCGAGGAGGTTTTTGCGCCCGAGCGAAAATCAACGCTTTAATGCTTATACCTAGTTACCTAGTTACGTTAGTGTGTGTATTTTATCTAAGGGTGAATTATTGTGTTTTTAATTGTAAATAAAATTCAAGAACTAAATCGTTGCATTTTCATGTTTTGCCAAGGGATCCAATTCGGTAAGAACATTTGTGGGTGCAGAATTAACTAATGATAACTTTACCTAATATAATTTATATTTAAGTTTGGACATTTTTAAGAAATTAGTAAAAAAATACAATCATAACCTTAAAATCAACCATTTTTATATTTTAGTTCTCTAAAAAACGCCTACAACTGCATTTTAAACAACAAAATATACCTACGAATTAATGGCAACATAATATTATATATATATATATATATATATATATATATATATATAGATGTCTGACCGCGGAATACGAGATCCGTATATGGTTAAACTTGCGGAATATGAGATCCTGAGATCCAAAGGCCGGATCTCGCAACGAACGGGTCAATTATTTTAAGTATTTAGGGTACGCTCATGAGCTTAGTACCAAAAACCGCCGGATCTGACTTTCCGTATTTTTACCTATTTTGTATGTAAAAATAGTTCGTCGTTATTAACATAGAGGCGCTGCAATCTTTTTTGTATATAACCGGTATTTTCCAAATTAAGGAATACGCTATCCAAAAAATTGCAACAGCGCACAGATCTCGTTTGATGCTATACAAATCTAAGCAAGTATATACAAGTCTGTTAGATTTTTCTAGCTAGAGCTTTTAAATTTTATAATTCTCGTAAGAAGCTTCATTAAGTTTAAAGTGTAGTGTATCAAAATGTTTAACTCTAGAACGTCAAAAATTGTTCGATTGGCAAAAAATTACCTATTAACTTAACCTTTAAAAGAATTAGCGGAAATGTGAGTTACTAATAATGATTTATTAGATATAAAATCTACATGAAATTGGTTATTAATCAACATCAGATCCATTTATAACCAATATATCGATAATTTATCGTTTATGAATCAATTTTAAGACGAATATGAATTTGAAATTTGGGTACTACCTAAATTGCGGAACAGATAATGATATTTAAAAAAAAATCATACTTTCTTAAAATGAATTAGTCAACAATAACTAATAATTATTAAGTCATATTTGACTAATTGTCATAGCGAAAAAGCAGTCACTAATAATTAGTCAAATTCTACTGAATGAAATAGTCAAATTAGTAGATTTAAATTTTAAAAGTTTTGACCCATCTGGGGATTGAACTCAGGTCTGTCACTTGTCAAACTTGTCAAGCTTTTGTCATAACCCATTCGGCCATCAGCCGCTCTTTTAAAAATCAATTTTATTTGTCAATAAATATTGTAATATTTTAAAGTTGAATATATTATTATTTGTGTTGCTGTTTTAAGCTAAACTGTTTGCATCTTTATTTGTTTAATGGGTCATTTAACCATGGAGCTTAGGTATATGCATTTAATTCAAATAATACTTTGTTGTTGGCCGCAAACGATTAAAGAAATTAGTTACTTTTAACTTTCAGAAATAATCAAAGATGGTGACTAATCTTAAATTAGTCAAACTTTATCTATTTACGTAGTAAAAAATAACTATTTAAAAGTAAACCGACTATTTTATTAAAAAAAAATGCTGGTACTAATTCAAATAGTAGAAGTTTGACTATTTCATTTTTAGAGAGTTAGTATAACCTTTTCGAACAAGTGCGGCCAAACAATGTAGGTGCATCCAAGTAAGTTGTATCAAATGCATCACGAAATAATTTATTTCCTAATAAAAAATACTAAAAAATGGCGTCCACTCAGTGTAACTAAGTGTTATAACTGCGGGCAAGTAAGTTTTATCAAATGCCCTAAAATATGAAGAATACAAATTTACTGAAGGTAGAAAATATTAATGTAAAACTTAATTATGTATAATACTTTTACTTTTAAATATATTAATACTTAATATTTGCTATTTTGTTTACAAAAATTATTTTTTTAATACATAAAAATATAATAATTAAAAAATATTTTGGTGTGCGATAAAACTCACTTAACCGCACCTACACTGATCAGCCGTAGAGTGGCCGACTATTTTTCGACCTATTGTTAGCATTTTTTATTGGGTTTATCACTTTAAGAGGCGGCGGCGGGTTCATTTGAAACAACTTACTTGGTTGCACCTACATTGAGTGATCGACCATTTTTAGCAATTTTTATTAGGTTTCTAGGTTGTGGGGGCAGCGGCTGGGGTAGAACAAAATATTTTGAGGAGCATTTGATCAAAAAAGTTATAAGACGTTTTTTAAAATATGATCTGTTCCGCATAATTTTTATTTTATATTTCTTAAGTTTATTTTTCCGTTAAATTATGTAATCAGTTTTTACAGGATTATTTAAACTTTTTATTATTATTATTAATATTTTATATATGTTTCTTAGTTAATAAAAAATATTTATTTCTGGTGTTTTTTTTTAATAAATTTTTACTGGAACAAAAATTGTTGCTTCAAAACGTCCGGTATAATTTCGTAAAATTACAGCTTTTTTGTGCTCTTTAAATGGTGTATACATATATATATATATATATATATATATATCTTGTTAATTCCGATTCTATTTTAAGTTCATAATACTTAAAATAGATTATCTATATATACTATTCTTATCAAGATCAAAGGAGATCCGAAATATGGCAACACCGTCGGATCTCGCTTTCCTTCTAATTTTCGATACATGTATACATAGGGTTTAGGATCTCTTAATAAACATGTTTAATTTTGCCAATGGGTTTTCCAAAAGCATTTATATTAAGACATATTTGTAAAATTAATTTTGGTTATCATTAAAATTTTAAGGTTTTTAAAGGTATTTCAAGAAAAAAACAAAATTTTATGGTGGATCTCGTATTAGACATCTATACATGGATCTCGTTTTCCACTTTTATAAATATATATATATATATATTATAATACATATTATAATGGTATTTTACCGTTGAGTGGAGACTTTTCTAATCAACGCTTTTAATAATGTTAAATGCTGTTTAAATTTAGACGATTCTTACTGAATTAAAATGTTTACACTTTTTACGTTAATCATTACTAATATGTGTGTTTACTGTATACAGATTACAGGGACTCTGTGAAATTTATTTCTTCATTCGGATAACACTGTTTATTGGAAAACCGGTAAAAACTCAACCCAGGATTTCCTCTCGAAATACACCCAACATCACAACAAATCGTGCCACGGTTTTTTTCCGATATTTTTTTTAACATTTTCCGGCTTAATTCTTAAAAACATTCGTTTGTAACATAAGCGTTCGACAACTGATTATTAAAAGTTGTACTTTTGTTACGATGATAACAGCCAAGTGTTGGCGCTACTAGCGATAATTCTTTAGCGTATAGGCCAAATATATTTGGCGAGAAATGTCTTATATACATAAATGCTCGTATTAGCATTAATGCAGCAGATACACTTTGGCTACTGCCCTGCCCAGACAAATTACATTTTTAAAATTTGCAGTGCCAGCACCCCAACAATCTGTTTTTTTTAGAAAAAATGATTTAAATCTAGCAAAAAACGTCAATCTTTATGAGTAAGCAATTTTAAATTTATTTTAAGTAGCTTGCTTAAGTTGAAAAAAAAAGATAATTAATTACAAAAAATAAAATAAATTACGATAAACCTTTGCTCCATAAATCAAAAACAGAAAGTCTTATTCCTCAGGGAATCAAAAAGCAAGCCCCTAAAATAATGAAATTTGGTTCAAACGACATTTTTCTTGTTTACGTCGAATGACAAAAAAAGTTAATTCCTCGTAATAAGAGTGCTGTACAATTAAAGATAGGTCACGCTTTCCTTTTTTTAATTTTCTTTCGATAATTGCCCTTCTAATACACCCGTTTTGATGGCGTAATACCCGCCAGATATTTTCCTCTAATTATAATTATCCGCGTGACAGTATTTTACAAAACGCGATAAAAAAATTTTGAAAAAAAACAACAGGAATGAGAGCAAGACGCTTCTGCAGCTGATGGTGCACATTGAAATTTATCAGAACAATAGTATACTACAATGTATACATTATAGACCAGGCAGAGAAAGCACAAATTATCACCGAGAGTACCTTTCATTGCCGAGGCAAT